AGCAAATCGAGTTCCTTCTGCTGAAGGGGAAACCCAGTCTGGACTCAGACCGTCTGGTTGAGCGTCTCGACAGTGCGGATCCGCTACAATCGCTTATGATACTTGCGTCCAAGGTCAGGCAGCTGATTTCAGAGCCCTCATCTGCTTCGGATTCCTTGCAATCTTTCGGAATCACGAAGCTAGCGTCATGGATCGACTCCTGCAGACACTTGGATTTAGAACTGGTCCAATGGACCCAAACCTTGCCGGAACTCTGGCTACCCCTCGAAACCCGCGCATACACGGGCGAGGATGTGCTCACGTACCGAGAGATGATTACTGCGGTTATTTGGGCCCACTACCGCGTCCTTCGGATCTTTATCCATGGTGCCATGGCAGATCTTTTCCGAGCACTGGTCTCTATGGTTAATTCCCCCGGGATTCAGCGAGAAGCGTCTCAGCATGAGGCAGATGGCTTACAGCTAAGCCTCGATATGATCTCCGATTCCTGTCGGAGTGTGCCATTCTGCTTTGGGGAAATTGATATGTTTGGAAACCCGATGCCTCCGTCCGAGCAGGGAATGTCGCGGGTTCGAGCTTTCTACCTCTACAGTATGCTGTGGCCCCTGTGGTATATTCTGTCATGTGGGCTGGCTACGCCCGAACAGACCCAGATGATCCGAGGCGTGATGGCCCGGACGGGCTCGGAAGCTGGCATCAAGCTGGCTACTATGTTGGCGAGTTACGATGGCGAGGATGCTATGGCGAATATGCCCCAATTGTACTCTCTGGAACGTTCAGTGAGGGAGGTGTCTGTCATGTGAGTAGGGCAGGCAGAGCCCACAGATTTACTCCAAAGACGTATTCCTGGGCTTGACTGGAAATACTATGCCTTGTATATTACTACGATTAATGTATATATCCACTACTACTCAATTACTCAAGTACTTGTACTGACCTTATGGTTTACCTTAGATTGGGGTCTTGCTTTTACGTGCCTTAGTCCTAAATTTGAAATGATTCACATAAGTGCGTTTCATTCTGCGTTAAGCAGTACAGGCAACACCCCTTTCTCAACAGTCCCGAAACAATCAGAATTGCTCATTCCCAGGCGGTCAAGGCATCATGGGGACATATGTGTGGACCAAAGAAGAGGGATGAAACCTTGGGCCCCAGATTGTCTAAGGCGCTGGAAAAGCGTCCTCTCAGTCCAATACTAGTGTTGCTAATCCTTCCAGTGAACCACGGGCTCAAAACACCCAACATCTGATAGTGCAGAGCTGTTAATTCGAGGCTACCTTCATCTACATTGCCTTAATCGATCAAATCGTGATACCATTGGGTATAGCTATAGCTCTTCCTATCTATCAATGAACTCCTTCCGGTCACCCCGGATGCACTGACGTCATTGATCTGCACATCCTCAAGACGCCGCAGAGACACACATACACACACACAGAGCATACAGTACTTATAGACGGATGGAACACAACAAAGTGAATAATTCACGGCTTATGTAGATTTCAGTTTCACACACAAAGAAACACCAAGTCCAGAAATGGCAAATCGGAACGTATCCGGCGCAGTTGAAAGTTCATTGCGCGGGTGCCGATTAGCCGTTGGACTGGATGATCTGGACCGACTTGTTTCTCCTTTCCCAGCTGGAGACTCTGACGACATGGCCTGCGGGCTGACGGGGTACAAAGTAAATACTATAAGTAGTGCCGATAGTACACTTTCCATTCAATGGATTTCTCCATAGCTTGTTGACCTCTCATTCCGTACTTTGTCGTGGAGTTTATGTCCTATCTCCCCTCCTCTCCCCTCTCCTCTTCTTCATTCCGATAAGCTTCAATTGATTTGCTCCCCTCCTCTACTTCCCTGACTAGGTAAACCCCCCAAAATGGCGACACAAAAGCCCAAGTACCCTTTGGGCAAGATTGAGCCCAACTCGGCCAAGTATTTTGCGAGTTGCACCCTTGGAGGAATAATTGGTGAGTAGTCTACCTGCTAGCCCTATTTACAATAGCTTCCAGGATCCCAAGACTAACCTCCTCGAACAGCCTGCGGTACGTATAATCATACAATCTCCGACTACGTCCACAACCACATCCCGGATCCTAATTCTAATCCCTACCACAGGCCCAACCCACACAGCCGTCACCCCCCTTGATCTAGTAAAATGTCGCCGCCAAGTCGATCCCAAAATTTACACCTCCAACCTCTCCGCCTGGCGCTCCATCATATCTAAAGAAGGCCTCCGCGGCATCTTTTTCGGCTGGACCCCCACCTTTGTTGGCTACTCCCTCCAAGGCGCCGGCAAATACGGCTTCTACGAGTACTTCAAATACCTCTACGGGGACCACCTATTCCCCAATGCGAACCGCACCGTCGTCTTCCTGGGCGCCAGTGCCTCGGCTGAATTCTTCGCTGATATGGCCCTCTGTCCAATGGAGGCTATCAAGGTGCGCATGCAGACAACGCTGCCGCCGTTTGCGCATACATTGCGCGAGGGATGGAGCAAAATCGTGGCGCAAGAGGGCATGTCCGGATTGTACAAGGGCTTGTATCCGCTGTGGGCGAGACAGATCCCCTATACGATGACTAAGTTTGCGACGTTTGAGGAGACGGTGAAGTTTATCTATAAGACGCTGGGCAAGCCCAAGGAGCAGTATAATGGGTTGCAGCAGACTGGGGTGAGCTTTTTGGGAGGTTATATTGCGGGCATCTTCTGTGCTATTGTTAGTCATCCTGCGGATGTTATGGTGAGTAAGTTGAATGCGGATCGGAAAGGTGAGTTATCCTCTCTTATTGTTGTATACTGGTTTGGGGTTGATGGCTGATGGTGTGTTAGCTGGCGAGGGAGCTATGACTGCTGTGTCGCGGATCTATAGCAACATTGGATTCTCGGGCTTGTGGAATGGATTGCCCGTGAGAATTGTCATGCTGGGTACATTGACTGGGTTCCAATGGTTGATGTAAGTGACGATGATAATGTTGTGATAAGGCTGAGGGCTGGATGCTGACGCAGATATATAGTTACGACTCGTTCAAGGTGTTCCTGGGATTGCCTACTACTGGTGGACATTAGCGTTATGTTTCCTTTGTTTAAACGGATAGATCCATCTTTTTCTCATGGTCTATATCATAGGAGTTAGTGCAATGTAATGACGATAACGAAGCTTTCAGCGTTTTGCTCAGTAAATACCAATAGTGTAGTGTTCATATATACCCCAGACTCCGCTGACCGCCCGACACCCCGACCGGCAGAACGTGACTGGCTCTGCTTCTGCTTCGGCTTCAGCTCTTGAATCTCGTCCTATCCATTCCTCTCAGATCCGCCTCGCTGCCATCCATTTCACCTCGGTGATTCCCTCTTTACTCACCAATTACCCAGGGTATTCTTTTAACCTTTTCGGAGTCACTCGCGCCCCCGCACTATAAGTACCCCCCCTACTCGCGCATCTCCGAACACCCTAAAATCATCCCCAACCTGTTCGCTCCTCCGACATCCCTTGACCATCAACCAACACCACAACAACACTCATCAATTGCACCACTCAAAGCTACCATCATCTACCTCTCACTCACCACACCAATCCACCACAATGGAAGAAAGCCGCCAACCCTCCACGACCTCCAACCCCCCCAGCGTCGAAAACGCCTACAAACGCAAATGCCTGGCCCTAAAGAAGCGCCTCAACGAAATCGAAGAAGAAAACGAAATGATGCGTCTCCGTAACCGTCGCGGCTGGCAATACATCCAGAAAATGCGCCTCGAGTCATGCATTCTCCTTGAACGGTTGGCCAAAGTCACCGGCATGACGGAGGAGGCGCAGGCAGGCGTGAACCCGGAACTGCGCGCTCGAGCATCAGCGATGATGACGAATGTTGCGGCGGTGACGGGCGGAGAGGCGGGGAAGAACGGTGCTGCTGGTGTGCCACAGTCTCTGGAGGATGAGACGGAGGGGAGCTCGGATGAGCAGCCGCCTACTGTAAGTTCTTGTCTTTTCATCTACCTTCCTGTGGTATATATATTTCGGGTTGAAGGTTTTCGCTAATGGTAATGGTGATGATTATGTACAGCCCCAGGAACGGCCTCTGCGTGTGAAGCGATCCAGGAAATCCAACTTGCCCAATGACGCTAATGTGGAGGATGAGGCGGCCAACAATGATACCAACAATGACAGCAACAGCAAAGAGAAGGAGAAGGAGAAAGACGCCAAGGATAAGGACGCGACGGAATCTGGCGCCGCAGCTGATGGTGATAACGGTAATGGAGATTCGTCCTCCTCGTTGCCGCGACTAGCCCCCGCCCCGTCGCAGGACGAAATGACCTCTTCCTTCCGCATTCAACCGGGTAGTAACGGGTCCTCGAATGATAAGGAGGGTGCTAGTGACCGCGGGAGCCATAACCCCGAGTCTGCGGAGCAGAGGGGTGATGGTGCGGAGGATGAGACGACGCCGATGGATATGGATGCGAAGGAGGAACTTAAGGAGGAGAGAGAGGGGTGATTAACTATACCATAACCATACCCTAGACTTTTCATTTTTTTTTTTCTTCTCTTTTCTTATTCCTACTATGATATGGAATGTTTCCGTTTCGTGGTGCTCTATATTCTTGTGTTATCGTGGTAATGGGTGTTATTGATCTCTGGGTTATTATTTTTCTGTCTTGGGGGTGAGGGCCTCTGTTGTTGTTTCTGGCCCCTCTTTTTCTCTTTATTCATTCTTCCTTTCTGTTCTATAGTATACGATGGGCAAAAGCGGTACTCTCTTCTTGTGTGTGTGTGTAAGAGGGGGAGTAGGAGGTATACCTGCCTACTTATAGAATAGTCATCCTTTGATCTGTGTAACCAGTAGATATTATATGTGCATCGATTATGTCTTGTCATGGATACTCAGCCTGTCAATAGCATGGCATGGCATGATACAAGACCATATTCATAGTGGTAATGAAATGACAGGCAGATGAATTACTGAGTCAGTAAGTGATTCATGTATGGAGGAGTTCAGTCCAAGCTCTTCTTTCACAACCAGATACCTACCGACTGGTAAAATCCTACATATTTCATTCCCTTAGAACTCCTAGTATGATGTTCAGCTTAGTTGACTTCCCTGTAGATGTTTCTTTTTCTTCTTTTGGAGCAAATTAAGGGGTGTAATATACAGCCTAAGATAAGCTATCGTGTGCTATGTAGAGGAAACTGGATACTAGATACTAAATATAGATAGATATGCATTGTCCGTAGCGATGCAAGGAGGGTTTGCTTTAATTCCCACTTTCACTCCTATCCCCCACTTTGATAGATGTATGCCTAACCCCTTAACTCCGCTGAAGTGAACAGATACTGAAAGAGAACACTCAGTGTAGTATGGTGTGGTGTCGTGGTGATGGGGATGTAGATGTGTAGCAAAGGTTGTTTGTCGGGTGAATGAAAACAAGGCAATAGTGATAGTAGTAGTAGAAGTAATAGTTAGTAGGAAGGGTAGGTAGTGTTCACTCCACGCCAGCGTACAAGTCAACTACGATGTTGATAGCTGCGACCAGAATTTCTGCCGCAATAAGAACAATTACTGTCATGTGTGTTAGTCGATTAGAACGGGTTAATGCAGGGGGCGCCGGGGGAGGGGCTTACCGATCCATTCAAGATACTCACCGTGGCGGTGAGTTAATTGATCTTTGAGGACGGCGAGAAGATCCGCTATTACGTCCAGTCGTTCGGTGAGCAGGCTTACGCGCTGGTCCATTTCAAGGTAACTGCGGACGGCCTGGTAAACCGGTTCTAGTTGGGGCTCGGCCCACATAAGTTCTGGAGAGTCTAGAACCGAGCCTTGCAGGTGAATGTTGATCCGGAGGATGAACAATTCGCCGATTTGCATGTTGATCTGGCGGCGGGTGAGGTTGACACTTCCTGTCTGGGCGATCTGGGCGGGTAGGGGTGCGGTGTTGGAGATGGTCTCGGATACGAGGTCTTCGAATAGGGAGGTCTTGACGGATTGAGCCAATGCGTGGGAGATGGCCAGTTTGATCATGTGGTTACGCGGATCGCGCAGAGAGATAAAGTCGTTGTATATCCGGGCTTGATATTCGCGAGCATAGTAGAAATTGAAGTTCTCAACCTGGGTATCTTCGGGGCTGAGGATGGAAGCGGCAAATTTGGAAACATCGGATAAGAATCGTGACTCGTGTGCAGGTGACATGCCCCATATGACGACTGTGCCGTAATCAAAGAGAAACACTTCAGGGGTATGGATCGTCGTGTCGAAGTCGGGATGTACATCTCCTTGGTTTTCTGACACAGCAGTACTCGAAGCGTGATCTATATCGGTGGAGTGGGATTGAGAGTCCCGTAGATCTATGAGGTCTTCCCGTCGAGCATTGGTGTTATCCTGAACCTCAACCACACTGTCCGAGTAGCGGCGCTCATTGGACGGCCGTTGACCAGGGTGACTATCCGCCATGCCCATTCCATTATTCGAAAGACCCCATGTGCCATTCTGCTTTTCCTCATAGCCGTAGTCATATGGAGAGTAGACACATTCGTCGTAGAGCTTCGGGTTGGCCCCGCGGGTTTTAGAACGAGACTTGAGAAACTTGATTATTCCCTCCAGTCGATAAGAATTGGCTGTGCAGTAGGCAGTCACTCGCGGCAGACGCTCTCTGTCGGCCTTTCCTAACTTTGCAGCATGACTCCTCGCCGTGGGTTCTTTGATCCGGGCAATCTGCGAATAGACATCGGACGGAAAGTCATCTCCACCAAGCTCCTCCTCGGCCTCAGTCACCGGATCGGGAAGCAGTTTGAGTTTTTGGGCATTTTTCGTCGTTCTTTGCGGTCCGACTTTGGGGGCTGCAGCGATTGGGGTGTTTGCGGTGCTGAACGGAGCGCCATGGCTGTTCCGCCGGCGGAGCTTGCTATTCAGGGCGGAGAGGCCGGTCGGTCGGTAATGGCTCTCCTGAGAATGCGGTGCAGATGAGGAGCCGGACTGAAGAGGTCTAAACGTGGGATCGGCGGAGGTCGAGTCATGGTAAGTGCTGACAGTCGCCAATGGGTTGAAGGTCACTGTCCGCGGCGGACGGTTTCCTCGCGGTGACGTATTGGAGGGATTCGGGAGATGATGCTGGGGGAGGAGCGGAGAGGATTCTGTGGTGACCATGGTGGGATAGGGGGTGGAGGGATGAGACACTGCTTAGAGCATAATCTGCAAATGATTGGCGAATTACACGGCAGACGATCTTTTGGTAACGGTGGACAGATAAAATTGGACAGGAGAGAGAAGGAGGGAGAGGGAGAGAGAAGTTGATGGAGAGAAAGTCGAACCGATCAAATGGAGCTCCAAGCTCTGCACGTGCGCCCGCCAGAGGCTGCCAATCTGCCCAATCCGGTGCCCCTCCTCTTTATACTCCCTCTCTCTCTTTCTCTCCCTTCTCTGCTGGTAAATTTGAGTTTTGTCTTTATTTTTGAAATTCAAGTTAGAATATTCCCGACGGCCTGGTTTGGTGCTGCTTCGAAAAAAAGAAAGCAATGATCTGCAGCGTGTAGATCGTACACTTCCCCAACGTTCTACCCGGTTGTACGACTCCCGGTCAAATATGCATACAACTACAGTACTTTCTTTCACTTTAGATCAGGGATATCTCTGTACCACATATGTCGTTTGATACCCTATTCTGGTAAAAGATTCAGAGATACCCATTGGCAGTATCACAAGCGATCTGCTACAAATCCAAGCAACAACATCTCAAACTTATCTAACCCTAAAGAAGTAAATAGTTGCTATGTTATGCACATCGTAACACTACGCCCATGGTTGGATCCACAACATTCTCTATTAATATTTTGACTGATTGATTCTCGAGACGGGAAAGCGTAAAAGAGCGCCCAAGACCTGCTATTTGCGCACGAATCCCGAGGAACCGCCAGTCGTCCTTCTCAACCCATTCAAAGCGCCTGTGTTGCGGGATTTGTTCAGCCAATTCTGCTTGGCATTGCGCCCGGTTTTTGAGGCCTTAGGCGGCAGAACCGTCTTTGAGGGCTTCCTGGATACACCATCATCCAACACCCGGATAGTAACATCTCCCACCCGCGCATCCTTCGGCGGCTTCTCCTTCTTGTCCAAGAATCGTAGCTTGTTGGGCTTCTTCTGCATGATAGTCCTCTCTTCCGCGGGAGGTGTCGGGGGCCGGACATCGGGGGCCGCATTGAGGATATCATCGGGAAGAAGAGCAGGGAGGGCCGAGCGTCGTGCATCTTGCGTAGTAGTTCCTTGGAGGGTCTCTGTGCTTTCCGACAACAGATCTTCGGCCTTTGCTTCCTTTTTCTTCGCCAACTTCGCCTGGGATTTGCGCAACTCATCCAACTGTTTCCGTTTGTCCCGCTTCAATTGCTCCTCTCTGTAGAAAACGTTAGAATCGTATCCAGAAACAGCACCAAGGCTGAAATCGCGCGCATCACTCACATTTGCCTAGCCCGTTCCTGCTTCTTAGCTTCCATCCTCATCTTCGACAGCTGTGCAGAGTTGTCGACCGTCTCTGGGGCCTCATCATCATCACTGCTCTCATCATCCTGATCCTGTTGCGCCTCCGTGGTATCCTCAACAGCCGCAACCTCCGGGATTTCCGGCTCCTCGCTATCAAAGCGGAAGTGCTTCTTCGCCGCCGGCGCTGCTGAAGGTTTCTTTTCCTCCTCTTGCTGTTCCTCAGGCTCCTCAGTCGGTTCCGTCATCTTCTTCGACTTCTTGTTACTCGAAGGTTTGCTCTCCGATTCTTGTGTCGTCGCCTCTAGACTGCTTCTCTTCCGCCGCTTGTTCTTGCTCTGAGTCTCAGTGGGTTCAGCGCCCACGGGTTCGGACTTGCGCTTTCCATTCGATCCATTGACTTCGGGCTCTGTCGAGGATTGTTGTCGCTCAGCGGGGAATTTCCGCTGTCTTGTTGCTGTGACCATTTTGGGTATGTTGGGGCTGCTTTTGATTCCAGATGGGGCGCCGGAGGTGGTGATAGTAGCTGTAGGGCGCAGATTTTTGAGGGAAGATTCGTCGGAGTCCTGTCGAGAAAATAACCCCTTTGCTGCTGTCACAATCTGAGAGAACATAGAGGATCTAGAAAGCCCTCCGTGTGACATGTAAAAACATGGAGAAATGTTATTGCGCTCAAAAGTCGTTCAAAAATTCGAGATCGAGATCCAGCAAATTTGGTCGGCGCCTGGGATTTTCCGAAGGCGGGCGGCTGTAAGTGGGTCGGATATAGTTTAGGAGGATGATTAGCTTCATTTTCAATTTGATCGTGTCAAGTAAATATAATCTAGTTTATGCTGTCAAATAAATGTCCTGTAATTGTATTTCTCAATGAAACGCCAATGCATCCCAAGTACCCCATGCAGATAAATATCAACCGCGCCAAAACACCATCCCATCGCAGGTACATGCTTGTAAAATCCCCGACGACAGCATCAATCACAGCATCACCTCGCACCAATCATCTGCCTCCGCTCCATAACCTCCTCATTCGCAGCCAAGAAATCATCCTCCCCGATATCACTCGCCTCATCCCAGAACTTCCCATGCTCATCCCCATCATCCCCACTAACCGTCCACATACTTTCTCGTAGTCGCTTGTTCCGTTCTCGATCCTCCTCAATCCGCTGCTCAATCTGCCGCTTGTCCACACGCATCCCACTGCTCTTGGACCCTCTCGGCGTCCCATGCTTAGCCCTCGCATCACCACCACCATCGCCACCCCCACCCCCTTCCTCAGCCTCCAGGTCGAGATGCGCCGGGTGGGTTTCCCGATCCTTCAAGCCCGCATCAATCTCCGCGATCGTCTCGGCGGAGAGGATCTCCTTGCTCTGTAGACCGTTCAGGACTCGACGGACGTGTTTGACGTTCGCGGCGCCGGAGCCGTCGGCGGGCGCGACGCAATCCACGATGCGGAGGATGTCGCGTTGGATCATGCGGACGTAGGGCGCGTGGTCTTCTTTCGTGGCCATGTCGCAGAATTGTTCGATGAAGTACATTATGTTGGCGCGGTTGTTCATGTTGTTCTGAGCGTACAAAGATAGTATATGTTAGCTTCATTGTGTATATGAGAAATGGTAATAAGGGAAGGTATGGGAAGACGCACTCTTTCTAGTTGTTCCAGGATGCACGAGTGTAGGTCCTCGTCCATGTCGCGGTATTTGAGCGCATAATGCGCTGCTTTTTGGGATGAGGTCACGGAGGCATTTAGGTGCTGCAGCTGCGCTGTGAAGCGCATGCGCACCTCAAAGGGATCGACCATCATCTTGGTGAAAGGGGTGTGGATTGAATGTTGGGATTGAGGAGGTAAAGGGGGAAAGAAGATTCGACAGTCTACGAGGTGACTACAAGTAATACTACTGATTGCATGCCGCGGCGATTGATCGAGACTGGCCGATGGATGGAGGGCTTGGATGAGACATTCCGATTGGATGTTGTCTAGGCGGTGGGATGCGATAAGGCGGGCAGAAATTGTGGGGTTCATTTGCTTGTCCGGCAGTGATGTGCTCTGCTTTAAGCATACCAATTGACATCACCGTTGCTGCTTCGTGCATATTGATCATCTCCAATGTATACTCTGTGGTACTATTAACGTTTGAACTAGAAAACGGGTGCGTTCTCTAACAATGTACTATATACATTACTAAAGCAAAGTCTAGATGCATGCAAACCACCAAACTGCCGCCATGAGCCACACTATCTCAGGCATACAAACCAAGAAAAACAAGATCCCGTTAGTAAACTCCAAGTTACCCAAATTCAATACATATTTCGAGACTTATAGCTAGGTATCCCGACACATAACACGACATCTGAAATAGGTCAAAGGATTCGAGATTGAGTGAGATGGAAAGTAAATGTTTCGGTGCATCGCTCAATAGACTCTTCAAAGCGACTGTCGTCTTTCTATAGTGCTGGCAAGGCTGGTCCTATCATCACTGTCAAGCAAGCCAACTTCCTCTGCCGTAGTTCCCGGGGTGAAAGCTCTCTCGCGGAGAGTGTCGTCCTTGTAGGCGTCCGGGCCGCTGACCACAGACCAAACGTCCTTTTTCGTAAGCAGTCCCTGGAGAACGCCTTTATCGGCGAGCAGGACATAGCGGAGACCTAACCTCTGAAACATCCGGAGCACAATCAAAAACGTTGTGTTGCTGTTGAGTGTGATGGGCGTCTGATCCATCCAAGGTCGAAGGTCCAGGGTTTCAGCGGGATCCGCAAAGGGCTGATGGCTGAAGAAGACCTGCGTCGCGCCTGACAACTCGTTGTCCGACGGCTTGGTAGAGTATTTGAGAGCGTACGTAAGCTCATTGCGCGATATATAACCCAGCAGGATGGGATTTGACGTATCGGTAACGACTGGAAACCCACGGTAAGAGGTCGTTTGGAGAAGGCCACGAAGTGAATCAATCGTATGACCAACAGCGGTGATGACCGTCATATCATCGACAGTGGTCATCACTTTATGAGCGGGAACGTCCGGTGGAGTCGTATCATCACGGTGATCCAGGAAAGGGTATTCGTTCAGCTGAATCCAGGACTCATAGATACCGCGCTTTCCAAATATATCACCGCACCATTTAGACAACATGACTGCAATCATGATGGGAATGACATAAGTCAAAGCACCAGTGAGCTCGAACATGATGACCACGATCGATACAGTCATCCTCGTGGCCCCTCCAAGTGCTGATGCTGCACCGATGATTGCATATATTCCAGGGGTTACACACGGGACATCTGGCTCGCATTTACTGAACAGAAAGAATCCCGGATAAGCCTCTTGCCACATCCGAAAGGTCATGCCCAAGCCACGTCCATACAGTGCCCCGATGGCAACTGACGGAAGGATGATACCCGCGGGTATGTCCAGTCCAAAGGTTAACGAGGCAAGGAAGAATCCCAGGAGAGCAGCCATAAGCAAGAGAGCGATAGTACCGGCCGATGAGGCGCCCGTCTTGCAAAGACCGAAAGGATCATCAGTCCCCGATCCAGTCCCACATTCTGCAAACAAGGAATGAACAAGTTCTGAATTTTGAGCCCTCATAAACAGATTTGGAAAGTTGATCAGGGCGCTTAGAAGAGCGACAACCGCAACCTCAATGATTGGACGAGCCCAACCCCGAGACCGTCGCCATGTTGCAATCTTCATATTCAGACGTATGAGGAACGCCCCGTAAAGGCCGCCGACGATACCAAGAATGACAAACGGTATCATCTCAAAGCGATGCCACTCACGTGTATACTTGACTTGATAAAGGACAATGTTGCCCGTGCGGAATGGGTTGAGCGCGTGCAGGGTGACCGATGCCACCATGGCACAGACAAAGCTCTGCCACATTGTCTTGTCCGGGAAGTAATACGACAGTTGCTGTTCGCAGATGATTAGGATTCATTCCCCCGTAAATACCGCAGAATCTTACCTCTAAACTGAACAGAACACCACCAATGGGCGCTCCGAAAGCGACGGAAACGCCCGCGGCGGCCGCTGCTGATAGCACCTCGCGTTTCCGCGCTGTACAATTAGCCCAAGACATTCAGTAAGAGATCATGAGAAATACCTTCGTTATGATTGAGGCCATGGAATGGCTTCATGATAACACTAGCGCAACAGCATGCGACATGGATTAAAGGACCCTCTTTACCGAGCCACATGCCAGACGCGACGGACAAGCACTTGAATGTGTCAGCGAGGACGAAGCGACAGGCACACGTTCATACGTACAAGACCCAAGGACTTAATTGCAAGAGTCCAAGGCCCCATGAAGTGCCTGATAACAAAACCACCAAGGACGGTCTTGATTTCAGGGATACCGCTATGCCTGGCATAAATGGCATAGGTCCGAACCAGAACGCATGCGCAGATCGCGAAGAACACCTGATCCTTAATTAGCACACTGCTCCATGGGACTCGAAAAGGCTGAAGTACAGAGTAAAGAATGTAAAAGGTATACTCGACGGCATATCCCCCACCCCGCGAGGAGACGCCTAGGGCTTTCCTCCATGGTGTCCAGTCTAGACAATCAGAGATATCTGGTGTGACTCCGTTAGCATTGGGAACAGAGATCTGTGAGAAAACCAGCTCACCGTCATGCCCCCAGCAGCAGAAGCTCCGATTCAGATAGAACCTGCCACCCCCCGGGCCGGCTTTACAGTAACCAGTTTTGAGATCTGCTAACCAATCACTGGCAACATCAATGCCAGCCGCAATGATCCCAACCAAAACACCTGTAGCAATCAACACGATCCAGACGTTACTGGCGTCCAATAGCTTGCGTAAATATCCAAAAACGCCTTGTCCGCTCGCATAGAGGAGCCTCTTTCTTTGTCTTTCTTTGGTGTATTCGAAAATCCAATCGATTGCCGTAAGGTTGTCATAACCAACTCGTCGTCCTGGTCCCTCTACATACCAGTCCAAGAAGCCCGAGTCTTTGTGCGCCAGGTTTCCGTTGCTGTTGCCATTGATCGGCTCCCCTAAGGGCTGGACGTCATCCGAGCGTTGTTCATTCCGAAACCAAGAGCCAAGCCCAGTATTTGTCGCAGACTCAGCAGGACTATTCGAGAAGAAGTTGGGGAAACGGAATTTTGAGCGCGACTGTTGTCTCTGTTTGCGTTTGAAAGAAAGCCTATGTACAGCTATTAGCGCACGACTTGTCGCAGCGGGTTCTAAGCTGGCCAGAAACTCACGGTTCACGCAGCCCGCCGCTTAAAGGTACATCGGGATGCTGTGGATCAAGGCCGCTGTCCTGAGCTCTTTCATCATCGCTATAGGGCTGGTGCAGCGATGACTGGGCTTCTGACTGTGGCCCTGGTCGACTCATTGACATCGTGAATGATACGTATCATAGGGACATATCAAGTGGCATCTCAAACAACGACGGTCGACGGGTGCCTATGAATAGCGATTGATCTCCGCGATTGATTGCGTTTCCGACCGGCAACTGGTGCCACAATTAGTTGAACCTCCGCGGCCGGGCCAGGGCGGTGAAGGCCCGCGCTGTGGGGCGGTGCCGCCCATTGCGGCGGCAGAAAACGGTTCTCCAAAGAAAAAAAAAGTGCAAGCAATTGGCGTGCCTCTTCTTCTTTCCTCTCACATCATCCAGAGTTCCTTTGGCGGTAGGGCTCAGCATGAATGCTAGACCCTCCTACGAGGGGACTCTTAACGAGTCCCAGCTGTTTCAACAGCTCCCGAATGAGATTGCGGAACTCATTCGCACCGCGTCGGGGACTCAGTACCTGAATGCGCTTGCGGTGGGCGCGCTGAGGCAAAGATGCACGGAAAGCTTCTTTTGCCTGTACGAACCGATCTTCGTGGACCTGGCAGCCCGTTGGCTTCTGTCGGAGTCCCAGGTCGATCAAATCGATGTTCTATCCGCATTTTCGCGAATTATCCCGCTCGCGCCATATCTGCGTTCCTTTGCAAGCCAATATGCCATGTCTCGGGCTGGACCTCTGTCGGCTTTGGCTACGTCCGATGAGCTAACGCTTTCTCAAATGAATGATGCCACCCTCCGAGCCCTAGTGCTAGCGATTTTCCGACTTCTTTCCTACGACACAGAGACCTTCTCGAAAGCCGTATCGCCATCACAACTCCAGACCTTGTTCCGACACGGTGATCCGTCCGTGAGTTATCTGGCGATTCGATGCTTTGCTATGTACATGAGGGCAGCCGATGCTGCGACGGAGGATATAATTAGGGCAAAATTTGCAGACAACATTATTGAGGGGGAATGGGAAGGTATTACCATCGACTACCGCTGCCTCGGATTGTGGGAGGAACGTCGGTGGAATGTCCTGGAGAAGCAAGTCCAACTTGCAAGAACTTCCAGGTCAGCCTCGGAAAGCCTGTCACAAATTGAGGCATTGAGAGACTACTTCACCGCTAGAACCGCCGAGGTTTGTGGTGTGCTTATACCCCGCCAGCAGGGCACATCACCTCCGCCGTCTTCCATTGTGAGAACTCCCACTGCTGTGGGTAACTTGCGGAAGATTGCGGCAGCCTTAATCGCTCCTGAGCCTATACTATTGACTGGATTGCCAAATTCTGGAAAAACCACATTGATCAACGATGTCGCAGCGACAATGGGCCAGTCTGAATCGATGGTTACACTGCACCTGAACGAGCAGACTGATGCGAAGAGTCTTCTCGGGATGTATTCAACATCGCCTGCCACGGGCTCGTTCGCGTGGCAGCCTGGTGTCCTCACCAAGGCTGCAAGAGAGGGCCGCTGGATCTTGATCGAGGACCTGGATCGCGCCCCTTCTGAAGTCATCGGACTTATCCTGCCAATCATAGAGAGAGGAGAGTTGACCATCGCCAGTAGAAGGGAAAGAATCAAGTGCGCCGAAGGGTTCAAGATCATTGCGACCATGAAATCGTCCTACAACATTGCAGGCGAAGAGATTGCCCCAAGCACCAACATCCTAGGCAGCAGGCTGTGGCAGAGAGTACAAATCGATTCTCTGACCATAGACGAAGTTCGCGAGGTAATCACGCAGAAGTTCCCTCTGCTTGAGTCCCGGGTTCGGACAATCATGGACGTCTACCAAAGACTTTGTGCTTCCTTCCATGGCAGTCTTGCAATCAAAAGCTCCCAAGGGCGTACACCTGGACTCCGTGATCTTGTCAAGCTTTGCAGCCGGATGCACAGGCGTCTGCAACGCCTCGGTGCCAAGACTGGCTACGAAGCTACGCCTGAGGGTGCCGAGGACGAGATCTTCCTGGATTTTGTCGATGTCTTCTTGAAATATATCCCCGAGAAGAATACAGCAGACACCCTTGCTTTGGTTGTTTCCGAGGCTCTCCAGATTTCACCCCAACGAGCGCGGTTCTGTCTGCACGAGCGCACGCCGACGTATTCAGACCAGGGAAATAGCATAACACTTGGAAGGGAAGTTTGTCGCAAGATCAAGGTCCCGGGAGGTTCGGCATCAAAGGCTGCTGCTGCTTCGTCTCGATTTGCCTCCACACGGGCTGCATTGGGACTTATGGAACAGGTCGCCGCTGCTATCCAGATGGCAGAGCCTGTTCTCCTTGTTGGAGAAACTGGTATTGGTAAAACGACTGTGATTCAGCAACTGGCTACCTTGATGCGTCAGAAGCTGACGGTTGTGAACTTGTCACAACAGAGTGAAAGCTCTGATCTCCTGGGAGGTTTCAAGCCTGTGAATATCCGGACTATGGCTGTGCCCATGCATGACGAGTTCGTGTCCTTGTTTGAATTGACGTTTTCTGCCAAGAAGAACCAGAAGTTCCTCCAGTCTGTCGGGAAAAGCGTTGCTTCAGGAAACTGGGTACGCCTAGTCAACTTGTGGCATGAAGCCGTTCGCTTGGCTGACGGCGTCTTCAAATCGAGTGGCGGTGCCCCAGGTGCCGAAGAGCAACCGACGAAAAAGAGAAAACTGGATTCACCAAAATATCAGTTCTTACGGCAAAGATGGGAGAGATTCTCGGCACAGCTGAATGATTTCGAGTCTCAAGTATCACAGGGAGATGCTAAGTTCGCATTTGCTTTTGTTCAAGGTAAAATTGTTCGGGCCCTGCGGAACGGGGAGTGGGTTCTTCTTGACGAAATTAACCTGGCGTCGCCTGACACGCTCGAGAATATTGCCAGTCTTCTGCACCATGGGAGTGAAGGTTCTCCATCCGTACTACTTTCTGAAGCTGGTGATGTGGAACGAGTTTTTGGACATCCCGAATTCCGCATCTTCGGCGCGATGAACCCTGCAACGGACGCAGGGAAGAAAGATCTGCCCCCGGGTCTCCGGTCTCGGTTCACTGAGTTCTATGTCCAGTCGCCGGACAGTGATTTGGACGATCTCCTGGCTTTGATTCACAAATACCTTGGTGACTTGGCCATGACGGATTCCAGAGCTGTCCCCGATCTAGCTCAACTCTACATGGAGACTAAGAAACTCAGCACCGAAAACAAACTCACCGATGGTGCTGGACAGCGCCCCCATTTCAGCATCAGAACCCTCGTCCGAGCTCTAATCTATGTTGCTGATCATGCTCACGTCTATGGGCTGCGCCGCGCAATATATGAAGGCTTCTCTATGAGCTTCCTGACTGTACTCAGCCAAGATTCGGAGAAGTTGCTGGCACCACTTCTCGAGAGACATTTATTCAGCAACGTCAAGAATGCAAGAGGACTTCTGAACCAGACGCCACGACCACCGACTGACGGCAACGACTATGTCCAATTCAAGCATTACTGGATGCGCCGTGGTCACCTAGCTCCCGAAGAGCAGCCTCACTATATCATCACGCCTTTTATCGAAAAGAACTTGAAGAACTTGGTGAGAGCAAGTTCCACTCGGCGATTCCCTGTTTTGCTCCAAGGACCGACCTCTGCAGGAAAGACGAGTATGATTGAATATCTCGCCAAGGTATCAGGAAACAAGTTTGTTCGTATCAACAACCATGAGCACACGGATCTTCAAGAATATTTGGGAACTTATGTCTCTGGTGATGATGGGACACTTCGTTATCAAGAGGGTGTCCTTGTGGAGGCGCTCAGGAACGGATACTGGATTGTTCTGGACGAACTGAACCTGGCCCCTTCTGATGTACTGGAAGCAATGAACCGACTTCTGGATGATAACCGCGAACTTTTCATCCCCGAGACGCAGGAAGTAGTGCGCCCACACCCCAACTTCATGCTTTTTGCGACCCAAAACCCTGCCGGCCTCTACGGTGGCCGCAAGGTGTTGTCGCGTGCCTTCCGAAACCGATTCTTGGAGCTGCACTTCGATGACATACCAGAGAGCGAGTTGGAATACATCCTGAAAGAGCGGTCTCAGATTGCCCCCTCTTTTTGCACTAGGATCGTCTCTGTATACCGGAAGCTGTCCTTGTTACGCCAGGCAAACAGGCTGTTTGAACAGAAGAATAGTTTTGCTACCCTGCGTGATCTTTTCCGATGGGCGCTCCGCCGAGCAGATGATCGGGAGCAATTGGCGATCAATGGTTTCATGCTCCTTGCGGAGCGGGTCCGAAATCCCCAGGAAAGAGCTGCTGTGAAGGGCGTCATCGAAGAAGTGATGAAAGTCAAGATCGACGAAGACGTTATATACAGTTCCTCTGAGATGGAAAAGCGTGCTCCCCATCTTGCTCAGTTAGCCCCAGGCGTTGTGTGGACGAAGGCAATGAGGAGGCTTTTCGTACTCGTTGCCACTGCAATTGAGAATAATGAGCCTACTTTGCTTGTTGGTGAAACTGGTTGCGGAAAGACCCAGCTTTGCCAGGCAGTTGCCGAGATTTACAAGAAGGAACTGTTGATTGTCAATGCCCACGTGAATCTCGAGACCGGAGACCTGATAGGTGCTCAACGGCCCGTAAGAAACAGGGCAGCAATCGAGAGTCAGTTGCTGAGTGACTTGCAAAGCCTCTTCTCACAGAACGCACAGTCAGGGTCTCTCGAGGAACTGAAGCAAGCCTTTGGTGCTTTGAACGCAGACCAGCTGCAATCGTTTGATGCCGAATTGGTTTCACGCATTGAGAGAAACGTGGCTCGTTCGAACGCTTTATTTGAGTGGTCTGATGGAAGTCTGATCACTGCAATGAAGACTGGCCAGTTTTTCCTGCTAGATGAAATCTCTCTGGCAGATGATTCTGTTTTGGAAAGATTGAACAGTGTTCTCGAGCCTCATCGTTCGATATTGCTTGCAGAAAAGGGCCCAATCAACTCTATGGTTATCGCAGACGAAGGATTTCAGTTTCTGTCTACAATGAATCCTGGTGGTGACTATGGAAAGCGCGAACTCTCGGCTGCTCTTCGGAATCGAATGACCGAAATCTGGGCACCCCAACTGTCCGAAGACGAGGACATTCTGCCGATTCTACAAAGAAAGCTGGACGTGGGCACAGAGAAATTACCTAAGGGAATGCTACAGTTCGCAAAATGGTTCAAGGGAGTGTTCCAAAATTCCTCTACTTCATCCCTCTCTCTGCGTGACCTTCTTGCTTGGGTTGACTTTGTCAATAAGTGCCAAAGCTCGGACATTCTCTTTTCAGTTGTCCAAGGTGCAGCCATGGTTTTTGTAGACACTTTGGGTGCGAACCCTGCAGCGATGCTCGCAACAGCATTGCATAATCTCGATGGGAACCGTCAATTGTGTCTTGACAAACTGCGTGAGCTTTTTGACGTTGATGCATCGGCGATTTATCGACAACGATCAACCGTCGATATTGAAGGCTCATCTCTGCGTGTTGGGCCTTTCTGCCTGCCAATGAACAGCGACTCGAAGCCTGATCCCGACTTCATCATGGATGCACCTACTACGATTGCCAACTCTGTGCGCATCGCTAGAGGCTTACAGCTGCCCAAGCCCATTCTGCTTGAGGGTAGTCCAGGTGTTGGAAAAACAACGCTCGTCACGGCGCTCGCGAGAGCCCTTGGGAAACCGCTTACACGTATCAATCTTTCAGAACAGACGGATCTCACAGATCTTTTCGGCTCTGATGTCCCTGTCGAAGGTGGCGATATCGGACAATTTGCCTGGCGAGACGCGCCATTTCTACAGGCAATGCAACGCGGTGACTGGGTCCTATTGGATGAGATGAATCTGGCTTCGCAGTCGGTCCTTGAGGGTCTTAATGCTTGCTTGGATCACCGTCAAATGGTATACGTCGCCGAGCTTGACCAAACTTTCAAGAGACATCCCAATTTTGTTCTTTTCGCTGCGCAAAACCCTCATCACCAAGGTGGCGGTAGAAAGGGTCTTCCTGCCTCTTTTGTCAACAGATTCACGGTGGTCTACGCCGACAGCTTCACAGATACTGATTTGAAGAGAATCTGCGCCAAGCTTTTCCCCGGTAGCCCTGCTCACCAAACCGAGGGACTGGTTGAATTTGTGTCCCTCCTCAACAAAGCCATTCAGGAGCGCCGGTTAGGCGCTATTGGCGGACCTTGGGAGGTTAATTTGCGAGATATCCAAAGGTGGCTCCAGTTGGCAGACCGTGGCAGCTTACAGATACCTACCCAGAGCTTCTTGGAAGTTATCATCTCTCAGCGATTCAGGAGCGAGGAAGACAGGCAGCTGGTCTCCAAGTTGTACAAGAAGGTGTTTAGCGACGCTTCGACACATGCCAAGAGCTACTACCACAATCTGACAACGGAGTACATACAAGTCGGACTCGGTATCATGCAGCGAGACTTGCTGTTGCAAGAGACAGCAAGCCCCCAAATGAGGATCCTTCCAGGAGATCTTCCCGTCTTAGAGTCGCTCATGCTGTGCATAGAGCAGTCTTGGCCCAGTATTCTGGTCGGCTCATCTGGCTGCGGCAAGACCACTCTTATCAGGAAGCTAGCTGCCCTGAATGGCGCTAGTCTGGTCGAGCTAGCATTGAGCGCTGATACTGATACTATGGATTTGGTTGGTGGATTCGAGCAGATCGACTACAGAAGGGAGATCTCTTCTCTTGTGCAACAAATCACGGTTTTCCTCCGACGCCATGTCATTTCTGCCTATGCAGGCAGCGATCTACTGGCGGTAGCTCCCGCTTTCTTGGAACTATACGAGCAGTTACAAAGTCCAGATGTTCAATTAGATGCTGTTTGCTCGTCACTGCAGAATCTTTGTCATTCATGGCCCCATGATGCACTTGAGAAGCTTTTCAACCACGCCCAGCGTTTGCTGACAGTCACGAAGCAGTCTGATAGCATGAAGGTGGGATTTGAGTGGACCGAGGGAGTGTTGACGCAAGCCGTTCAACATGGCCAGTGGGTTGTTCTCGACAACGCCAATCTCTGCAACCCATCGGTCCTCGATAGGCTGAATTCCCTTACGGAACCCAACGGAGCCCTCATCCTGAATGAGCAACGTACGGAGGATGGAAATGCCCGCATTGTCAGGCCTCATCCTAATTTCAGGCTTTTCCTCACGATGGATCCTCGCCATGGTGAATTGTCACGGGCGATGCGGAATCGATGTGTTGAGATATGCTTCTTGTCCCAGGATAACAACGATATCATCACCACATCAATGCCTGCTTACACACATCAATCGTCCCTGTACCGCCTTCGTTCGGTCTGGGAAACAGATCTGTCCTTACCTACCCAGGAAAATACCGACAACCTCCATGAAGTGTGCCTCGACCATCTTTCATTCTCAGACCTGTCGTATCTTCAGCGGGCACTGAAGCTCACGCCGCATTACGGCTCAGACGTCGCGAGAGAGCCCTTCTCTTTGGCCTTGGATCGATATGTGTCTGCCATACATGATAATTCGTCAAGTAAACCTTTCGAAAGCACCAAGAAGGAAGTCATGCTCGGTCGTGCTTCTTTTGCCATCCAAGGAAGGTTACAACCTCTTCACCCTCTTGTTAACGAACCTCTGGCTTCCATACTGCACCAGGATGTGCCTTTGGTGTGGCTCATGATTTTGGCCTATCTGCAAGAATACAAGCTTGATCTACATCGCCTTAGACAGAGCTTGCTGCAAGCCGACGAAATGGGGAAACAGCTTAAGCCAAGTCAAATGAGTCGCCTCCAAAGATCACTAGCTTCGGGAAGAATACCGTCTTTGATGAAAGATTCGACGCAGCCGGTTGGCCCGTTCCTATCTGACTGCGGTCAAGCCATGTACGATTTCATTCAGGGACTTGACTATGATGTTCTTCAGGCCCCCGAAATGGTGCGGGCTCTCCGAGCTATCATCGACTTCATCAAAGATGTACTCACAATGACTGCTGCCCATGACCTGGATCAGGGTGAATTCCAAATCTATCTGCAGATTGGCAAGGAATTGTGTGCTTCGCTGGTGGACATGTGGGCGCCGTTGAAGCAGCTCGCTTTCGCGTTCTCCCAAGCCCTTGATCGATTCCAAGAACATTGGGCGTTAACCACAGGCCTAAGCATGCAGCGGCTTTGGGAGTCATGGAGACCAGCGACACCCTCGACGCAAAGCCAGCTGACGTCCTTGCTCGAATTGGAGAGCGTTGCCTCTGAATTCACCCAAGTTGCGACAAAAACTCACCTGGACTTGGCTCAATTGAGCCAGGTGCGCAACTCTCTCATTGCCGGCCAAGAAGCTATCCTCCGAAACGGTGCTGACGAAGGATATCCCACACAAGTAAGTTCCTCCCACGTTTTGCTGCTTCACTTGCATCTGATACTAATGGATTTCAGGTCCTCCGGCAAACGGTCGCCGAATTGGCGGCTTGCGTTCAAGACGCCGATCCAACACTGCGCCCCTATTTCTCGACTAGCTTTGAGACTTTGTGCCAGTACAACGATATCGCTTCGCTATGCAAGAGTCAAGTTGGTGATGACCAGGTTGTGCGAGCTATCCTGCCTTTACTTGCCAGCCGTGCTGCCCGGCCCTTGGATGGGTCGAGTCTACAGAGTCCCATTCCTAATCTCCTTCACAAGCTTTCCTTATTCTCAGGATCCGAAAATCCCTCTGTGTTCGGATCGGCCGTTAGCGGCACAATCTCGCTGTCGCTTCTGGAGAGATTGGCTTTCGTTGGCTCTACGAGCTTGGGCCAAATGAACGCATTGGAGGTAGAGAAGAAGACTCTTTCTCAGGCATTGACTCTGACCACCCGAGAGATTGGTTTGGACCAGTTCAAGGTTCTACGCCAGGTCCTGGCAAGGCTCACACTGGAGCTTGTCATTGTGCACAGAGAGTTCTTTGAGCCTCAGTCTTTGGAGGCGTTGGCTAGCATTCTTCGCGCAGTTGAAGAGACCGGTCTATATGCTGGCCCGGCAGTGCAAGAATTTCGTGCGGCAGCGAACTTGCCTAAAGAGCATTATTTCAGGAAAATTGTAAGAGAGGATCTTCCTAGGCTGGTTGCCTCGCTCGCAGCCGATGCACAAAATGTCGAAGCTCCGGTAGAGAACACTGGAGCCGCAATTGTTCAACTAGCTGTGATCTTCCTGCGCCTCTTTGTGCCTGACAAGCCTTTTGATCCCTCATTGGGCTTGGTCGTGCAGAGGAAACGACACGCGCAACGCTCGTCGGAGCTTACGGCAAAGGCTGAAGCTATTACTTCTTTCGAGGTTGGCTTTTCTGGCCAGACTTCCAACATCCGGGTTGAACTTTTGCAGAAGGAATTGCACGAACTTGGTTCGGCGCCGCCTCCGTCTTCTGTCAGCAGACCTCCCATTTCTGAGATCAATCTTCTCCATGGGGAATTCTCAAGTCTGGTGAAGTCAGTGCTTGAGAGGCACCCTGAGCAGATTGTTTCTGCGACCAGTGAAGATAAGGGTGAAAAGCAGAGGATGCTTGGTCTGCTGCGTGATAATGTTCGCCAGCTCAGCCACCGCCTCAGTACTAACTACCGCTCCTACGATGACATTACGACACCTGTTGTCCGGTTCCTCCAGATTTTGGACATGGGTCTTTACCTTTCTTCAACTCCATCCTGCGAATCAAGTGACATTCAGATACTGAAGGCTGTTAAGGAAACTACACCATTCCTCGGAGGATTGATCCATCCGATTTCAGAGCTAAGATCGGAAGCTAGCTCGACTGTCAACACAGATCTGTGGTTCCATGAACTGTCCTCGTTGAGATTAGCTGAGAATGCGGATCCGGGAGTTATCCGGACCCAAGCTGGGCGTGATACTCTGCGCCGCCTTTTCGAGCAATTCCACGCTCTTTGGAAAACCAAGCTGCGCGAAGACCAAGAAGATGAGGCAAGGAAGTCCGAGTTCTACCACTACAAGGGCTCTTGGGAAGATAGTGAGGAGGTCGACGAAAATGAACTACGCCAGCTGTTCCCCACGTATGATCAGGAAGCAGAGGAGGAAGAAAGCAAAGGCCCGGGTCGCTACGATCCGAAGGCTATCTCGATAAGGCTTGCGTCATTGCATGCGAAATTGTTCCAGTCGGAAGATCGCGAGGAAGCCTTGTCAACGTACGTCAAGCAAGCTTCCCTGTTACTGGGATCCAAGTGGTCAGAGGACACTCTCACCGTACCGAATGTAGATCCTAAGGATCAGCTCTCCGGTGTCCTCTTGCTTCTGGAAGACTCTATCAATATAGGCCAGAATCAGCCGGCAGCCAAATACAACTTCTACGTGGATGCGAACATAGCCGAAGCAAAGAAGCTGGTGACATTGACCTTGTCAACGAAGGCTCGGTTCACTCAGATTCAGAAGGCCTGGCCCGACCATGCGGTGTTGGAGGACGTCATTCTGTGTTGCAGAGAGATTCTCCAATTCAAGCACACCGAGCCTGTCGCAAAGTTCATTACCAAGGTCGAGAAGCTCCATGCTCTTGTTCATGAATGGCAGCTGGTGGCGAGCAGAGAATATTCGGCAGCTTCTGTGTATGAAGAGATCACTGCATTGATCATCGGCTGGCGACGACTTGAGCTATCAACGTGGGCGAAGCTTCTGGACATCGAGAACGAAAAATGCACCCAGGATGTGAGCTCATGGTGGTTTATCGCCTATGAGGCTATCATTCGGGCTCCCATGCAAATTGCAGAGTCCGGCCAAATGGAGATGAACGAACACGTGCAAGAGGTTACAGCTACATTGGAGCAATTCTTCCACTCCACAACCTTGGGACAGTACACTGAGCGCCTTCGACTTGTCAAGAATTTCCAGTCCTTGCTCTTGCTCTATGTCCAGGATATGCCAGCCTTGAACCAGCTGATTTCTGCTTTGGACAACTTCCTGGTTCGCTACAAGCAATTCGAACCTATTGTGCACAAGCAGCTAGTGGAGAAGCGAACCGCTCTTGAGAAGGATATCAAGGAACAGATCCAACTGGCTAGCTGGAAAGATACCAATATTGTCGCGCTCAAAGAAAGTGCCCGCCGGTCACACACCAAGTTGTTCAAGCTGGTCCGCAAGTACCGGGAAGCCCTGGGACAACCAGCGCAACCGATTCTGGAACAGGACATGCCGGATAACAACGAGGACAACGGTCCTTCCCAAAACGATGTTGTCATAGCCTCAAGCGTGTTCCCTGAAGCACTCGCAATGTGCCAGAAGGAAGGAGTCTGGACCGATAGACCCCCGCGATTCAAGAACCCCGATGCCACTGCTAGCAGCATGATGCAACTTTATACCTCGATTCCCGCCGAGTTTGACGTTGCAGAAGAACTTGACGGCTTTGTCAAGTATGTCATCGAGAGTATACAGGAGTTCAAGTCGCGGACGCCGAAGACTCTCACCGAAGAGAATACGGATGATGTACAGCACCTCAAGGTCCAGAAGCGCCGCTTTTACGCGGATACCTTGCGACGACTTATGGATATGGGCGTGAAGCGTAGCGCGAGTACCAGCTTGATTGAAACTCAAGCATCTATTGCACAGATCCTTGCCTCCAGCCCAGCCATGGAAGCCGACTCTGTGCTATCGCAGCTGGCCAAGAGTTCCGACTTGTACTACCATAGGTTCTTGGACTTGCTTCCTCGCGTTCGTCTGGCAGCACACAACTATGCGGAAGATCTCAGCAATGTCGAAGTATCCAGAAGCTCGGGCTCTATTGAACACTTGTTGTTCCTCGCCCGAAAGCAGAGAGCCTCAATCTCACCAGCGCTTACTGCTCTGACAGAGCTGCAGTCGACACTCCTGAAGGTTTCGAATCTCTGGAATTCTGGCTGCTCTTCTATTTCCAAGGATCACCCACAATTCCCGATTGAGAAAGTCGAGGTAACGAGGGCAGTGGCATGGCTGACACCTGTACTCGGACTGGCTGCCACTGTTATTGGTCTGCACGCAAAGTTCTCTGGAATCGGTTCGAGAAGTATCCTGGACGGCCTGCAGACCTGGAAGGGCACATTTGATCGCCTGAAGACCTCTTTAGACAATCTTCCTCAGCTACCACACGGTGTCTCCTCGCAGCTGTACAGGGATACCGTCCAGCAGGCTTCTTCATCCCTTGAGCAATTAAACAGCAACCTCACAAAATGGGCTGAAGAGCGTCCTGATCTGTCTTTTGTGCTTGGCCAGATAGTCCCTTGGGTAAAGGTCAACGTGATCTCGCCAGACTGTGACCTTGATGAGACCACCGTATCCCTCGACAAGTTTGATGCGGGTCTCGTTGCTGCAGTTGATAAGATCCTTGTCAGCCTCCAGAAATTGAAGGAGATCCCATCCTCGCTTGCCAACCCTGGTTCCTTGGCGCGGAGTGACGAGTTCTTCATCAAATCCTTGAAGGCCCTTCATATCTCTGGCATCAAATCCTCTCTTGAATCTATCCTTGATCAATTGCAGCACATCCAGGCTGGCTCAGGGCCTGGCATTCCATTTGCGGTCGCACTTGTGGCGAGCTTGCTACCTGTCATGCACAAGTACTTCCATATCAGCAAAGACGTTGTGGATCGTTACTTGGTTGTACACCGGGAGACGTGTAAGATGTCCTACATTCTCACCAAGTGCTTCGCCCAGATCGCTTCCGAAGGCTTTTGCAGTCCCGCAGAAGCATCTACGGAGGAGAGCAAATCCGGCAAGCTCGAGAGCGGCACTGGCTTGGGAGAAGGTGAGGGTGCTGAAGATATCAGCAAAGATGTTGGAGATGACGAGGACCTGTCGGAGCTTGCCCAGGAGCAAAAGGGTGAGTCTACCGAGGACCTTGAAAACTCAGAAGACGCAGTGAACATGGACAATGAGGAAATGCAGGGCGAAGAAGGCGAGCGGAAAGAAGGCGACGAGGAAGACAAGGACAGCGGCGATGAGGAAGAAGAGGGCGACATTGACGAGGAAGTAGGCAGTGTCGATGACCTAGACGCTACGGCAGTTGATGAAAAGATGTGGGATGGTGAGCACGACGACAAGCAGAAGGAGACCGAGACCAATGAAGGCAAGGGTCAGGCTGAGTCTGACGAACAGACGGCGGCGCAGGAGAAGGAGAAAGAAAAGGAGAAGGCCCAAGAAGGCGAGCAGGGTGAGGTGGACGACAATGAGGAGGAAGAAGAAGATGAGGAAGGCGAAGATAAGCCTGACGAAGAAGGTGAGGCCGTTGGACGTGAGGATATGGATGTGACCGATCCTCAGGCGAAGGAAGAAGAAGCCCTGGACCTTCCAGACGAGATGCAACTCGACGGCGAAGAAAAGGGCGAAGAAGAGAATGAGAGTGACGATGGCCTTGACGGCATGGATGATGATCTCCCCCCTCTCGAGGAAAACAATGAGCAGCAAATGGACGGAAAGGATGTTGGCGAGGATGAGGCCATGGAGGAAGGTGCCGAGGAACAAGAGCCCGAGCAGACAGAGGAGGGCATGCCGGACGAAGAGGCAGCCGAGACCAATGAAGGCGAGGGCAATGACGAGGCGGACGAAGCCGGCGAGGAGGCTGAAGAGGAGAAAGAGGACTTCCTGGCCCAGCGTGACGAGAACGAGATGGCTGGAGAAGAAGTGGCCCCCAGCGAAGCAGTCAATGGTGGCCTTGGGGCTGATCAAGACCAAAACCAAGAGAAGGGCTCTTCTGGTAACGCACAGCAGGAGAACGGCTCAACTGATCCTTCCGACCAGAAGGAGCAGCAAACCGGTGCAGCCCAAGAGGGTGACGAAAATCAAAGGCATCAGGAAGAGGGTGGTGCGAATGATGCAAACCCAGACGACCCTCAACTGCAGGCCTTCAAGAAGCTGGGTGACGTTCTCGAACAATGGCACCGCCGCCAGAAGGAGATCATGGAGTCCTCCAAACAAGAGGAGGGCGAGACCGAGGAGCCCATGCCCCAGGATGCAGACATGGCCGACGCTGATTTTGAACATCTTCGCGATCAAGACGACGTGGCAGATACCCAAGCACTGGGTCAAGCCAGTGAAGAGCAGGCCAAGGCTCTGGACCAGAACAAGGGAGTCGAGTCGGACACCAAACCCGAAGGCAACGACGCGCTGCCGGACGTCACAGACGACGACCAACAGCAACTTCCAGACAACAAGCTAGAGGACGAGATGCAGCTGGATCAGGGTCTTCCCTCCGAGTCACAGATGGCCGGTGCCATGATTCCTGGCAACACCCACACCCAGGAACGGACCACCGACACCGCCGGCCAGCAAGAAATAAACGAGGAGCTAGATGAAGTTGACGCCCATCTCGCTGCGATCCATCTCTCTTCCAATCTCCCTCCCCTGACTCCCAGGGACGAGGCCCAACGTCTCTGGTCATACTACGAATCAGCCACTACCGACCTCTCCCTCTCCCTGACCGAACAACTCCGCCTTATCCTCGCCCCTACACTGGCCACCAAACTACGCGGCGACTTCCGTACCGGAAAGCGTCTCAACATCAAGCGAATCATCCCCTACATCGCCTCCCAATACAAGCGCGACAAGATCTGGATGCGCCGCTCCATCCCCTCCAAGCGCAACTACCAAATCATGCTTGCCGTCGACGACAGCAAATCCATGCTCGAAAGCGGCAGCGGTCAACTCGCCTTCGAAACCCTCGCCCTAGTAGCCAAGAGTCTCAGCATGCTCGAAGCTGGCGACCTCTGCGTCCTCGGCTTCGGCAACGAAGACCACGTCCGCGTCGCCCACGAGTTCGGCAAGCCGTTCTCCTCCGAAGCCGGCACCCAAGTCTTCCAGCACTTCAGCTACCAGCAGACTGGCACGAACGTGCGCAAGCTTATCGCCGACTCCATCGCCCTCTTCCGCGAGGCCCGCTGGAAGCAGTCCCCTGGTAGTGGAAACGCGGACCTCTGGCAGCTAGAGCTGATTATCTCTGATGGTATCTGTGAAGATCACGAGACTATTCAGCGTTTGGTGCGCCAGGCGCAGGAGGAGCGCATTATGATTGTGTTCATCATTGTTGATGCTGTCAAGGGTAGCTCGATCTTGGATCTGAGTCAGGCTAGCTTTGAGGATGATGGCAGTGGAGAGATGAAGTTGAGGATGAAGAGATACTTGGAGAATTTCCCGTTCCCTTATTACCTCGTTGTCCGGGATGTGAGGGAGTTACCGGCTGTTTTGGCTACGGCGTTGAAGCAATGGTTTGCTGAGGTGGTGGATGTGTCATCTTGACTTGATTGATTACTTGTGTAAAAGAAAAGTTAGCATGTTACTGTTATCATTATGAGTTAGATGTATATACGGCTTCGATTGTATTTAGAGAACATTTCAGTTATTTTAATCATTTCTTCATCTCCAAATAACAATTGGCAGTTCCAGTATCTTATAGTGCTATATCTATCTTCTGATACTCAATTCCTACCATCAATCAAACTCATTACAAAATCAAACTATGATTATGAACTCCTTCCATGCAACTCCTCTCCCACCAACAACCACTAAACCTACACTATCCACACACACAATACCCTATGAGAGAAATTACCACCCATACTTCGCTCCCGCCTCCCTCTTATTCCTCCTCCCAGCAGCAAAGCTCTCCTCCAGCGCCTCGCGCTGCGTACTCGCCGCATTAACCAACTGCTGCAGTGTATGCTTACCCGGCGCAATGGCCCTGACGGGGTTATGCTGCTGCGCCGCCAGCTCCGTGTGCGCAAGCTCCTGGTTCGTGACGTACTCTTGGTCCGTGTTGAAGTGCAGGACGCGGGAACTGGCTGCCACGGATTCGGGGGCGTTGCGGCCGAAGAGTTGGCGCCGTTGGGCTTTGGAGAGGTTGAGGTCGTCGGCGATGGTGCTGAGGGTGTTGTCTGATGCTGTTGAGGCGGGTTGGTATGTGGATTGCTGTGTGGTGGTGGTGTCTTCGGGGGCGGGGGAGGGGCCGGCGGGGGCAGTATTGAGGGGGGTGTAGACCAGGGGTTCGTAGGATGTTGCTGATGGTGCTGTCGATGTGGTGGGTGTAGAGTCGTCGCTGGCGGAGAGTGAGAAGAGGCTGATTTTGGGTTTGGGTGGTGCTGGCGCTGCAGCTGTAGGTGTCTCCTGAACAGATGCAGATACAGATGCAGATGTAGATGAAACTGTCGGCACATCCTCCTTCCTCCGTACAGCCGCAGCAGCAGGCATCAAATCCGAAACAGCTTTCCTCTTCTTCTGCTGCGCCCTCCCCACAGACAACGGCTTGAACATCATTGGGTTGCCCTTCAACTTGACTTCCTCTGGCTTCTTCATTTGCGGCACAGCCTCCTCCTCCTTTTGGTCTTCACTATCCTTCCCGAAATCCAATTCCTTATCTCTCATACTCCCCGCCTTGGGTATCGTCTCATCTTCATCTCCATCTCCTCCTAACGCCCCAAACGCCCGCTCATTCCGCATCTCCGCATCCGCCTCGCGATCGAACCCCGGCGCTGCGCCCGTCTTCAGACTAAATATCTTGCGCGCGGGCGCCTTCTTCTCTGAAGCATTGCTGCTTGCGGTGGTAGCTGTTTTCTTTGGCGCAGGTAGAAACGAGTTAAAGCCGGAGAATGCACCGCCTCCGCCGCCTAGTTTGGGTTTCTTGCGCGGGCCATCAGTGTCGTCGTTGTGTTCGGGTTTGACGTCTGGTAATGCGACGCGGATTTTGCGCGGGTTGGTGCGGTCGACGAGGGGTTGGATGGGGGGTTTGTTGTTGGTGT